GGAGAAAACAGAATTAAAACAAGCAAGCAACGGACCATAAACAAAATCTTCTGATAGAGCATTTTGAAGCCTTCAAATGATAAATCTTTCAAGTCGGGATCAATATCCTTTATGTTTGTATGTTTGTATGTATATATGTATATATGTATGAATGTTTGTTAGTTAGTTAGTTTGCATGTATGTGTGTGTGTAAGCTTTTGTGTAAGTATGTTTGAATATGTGAACGTTTGAGATAATGAATTTGTATGATGACGATGTATGCGTACATGTGTGTGTTCGTGTGTGTGCGTGTATGTGTGAGTGTGCTTAAACATACACGTATAATTAAGTTTGGCACTTTTTTTGGAAAGCTTAAATGTTGTTATTGATGCTGTTGTTTGTTGCTGCTGTTGTTGTTGTTGTTGGTGGTGGTGGTGGTGTGGTGGTGTGGTGTTGAAGGTTTTTATAAGGAAAACATTCAAAGTTGATTATGTTTTGATTGTGAAATAAGCTCTCCCATATTAAAATCACAGTCGTCATCTTCGTCTTCATCGTCATCCTCGTATTATTGCAACGTCGTTATTATTATTATTATTGTTATTTTTAATCATCATCACACCATCATCACATCATCATTAACAATGACAACAACAACTACGACAACAAAAACGTCGTCAAAATCATCTTCATGTCTAATTTTTTGAAAAATTAAAAACCAGACCAATTTCATTTTACAACAGCTGAAAATTATTATCCACCAATGAATGAATGAATGAATGAATGAATGAATGAATGAATCAATCAATCAATCAATCAATCAATCAATCAATCAATCAATCAATCAATCAATAAACAGTAGTTTAGCGCTAAATTATATCTAAACTAACCTGATAAATTTCTTTTAGTCTGCTGTTTGTCATCTTCATGTTGTTGTTTAGTATCCAGTATTTCAAATCTTTCATACATATTCTTCGAACAAATAAAAAGCTTTATTCATTCGTTTGTTCATTCATTCATTCATTCATTCATTCATTCATTCATTCATTCATTCATTCATTCATTCATTCATTCATTCATTCAGGCAATCATTCATTCATTCATTCACTCGATCACTCACCCGTCATTCTTTTCCATTTTGTAGAATTCTTTCCTAAGCCACCTGCAACAAGAGAATTCATTGCAAATGTTGATAACTACTTAATAACAACAATTATGATAATAATTATAATTATTATAATAATAGTAATTAATATTATTATTATTAAACATGGATAATTATAATGATAGAAATGAATTTATCTGCCCCAACCTACATACATCCATTGTACCAAATAATAAATAGATGATGGTTATAATAGAAGAAACATAAATATCATATGACAAATATACAAGTGATTGAATACACACACACACACATCCCCACACACACACACACATACACCCACACACACACACTTACATATTATATATATATATATATATATATATTTAAACAAACATATTTAAACATATATGAATGAACATCACAAACACACACATAACATAACATTACTTCATCAAACCATGAACAGGATCATTTTGTGTGAACAGTAAGTGTGAACAGTAATGAACACTGGGTGTAAACATTAAGTATGAGCATTGTGTGTGAACAAATAAACAAACAAACTAACTAACTAAGAAGTAAAAACCACCTTTCAATTTTCAAAGGATTCTTTGCTTTTTTAGTCTCATTAACAAGACTCTGAAGACCTTTAAACCATTTCTCTGTGCTCAATGGATGAGGAACTAATTGAAAAATAATTAATTTAATTATAATTAATCAACTAGTTAATGATCTTTCAACAAGATTGAAGCAAATTGTTCCAGAAAGAAATTTTAGAAGAGAGTTAAAAAGTTCAACTAAGTAAGCATCAAAGTACAATCCACTGAGGAATGTCAATAGAGTGAATGCAATAATAATAATTAATGCACCAACAATAAGTATACACATTGTGCCAGGTATTTCACATACACACACACACACACACACACACACAAACATATATATATATATATATATATATATATATATATATATATATATATATATATGCACACACATACCATGTAAAGATAATGTTTTTAAGTTGAATTTGCTGCCGTAGAGGATGACCAAGCATTGATTTCTGTCCAATTTGTTGACTTCCTCAGGGACTCTCTCAAAATCTTTCGAGATTTTACTCTTCCTAATTTCTTTAACCTCCCTCAGGTCAACTTTTTGCAAATAAATAAATTTATATTTATTTATTCATTTAAATTATAAAAAGTAATTTGAAGAATTCAACATTAAAAAATGAAGACATGACAATCCTTGATGGTTCAACCAATCTGACAAACAGTTAATCACAAAACTTAACTGACATAACTGATTAAGAAAATTAATTAACACAACTAATTAGCAAAATTAAATAATTAATTAATTGATTAACCAGATTCTTCAGCTCTGGGAGCAGTAGACCTCGGCCAAACAATCTCTTTTGTTTCCAATTTGATCTTGATCAACTGACCGTCATAAGTTTTTTTTCTTGAGTATCGAGTCATGATGGAACCATTGTCCATCATTCGCCTAATTTCCTCATCTTCAGAGCACTGAGCATTATAATGGGGCCGAGAAGTCATTGTGTCGTACAAACTTTTATTCAGTCAGAACTTCAGACCACTAGTTATATACCGTTAAAAACTTTAATCAATCAATTATCAAATCAATAGCTAATAATACCTAATTAACAGTTAATTAAATTTAAATAATTTCTGGTTTTTATATTTATTAACATACACAAATTAATAGTTTTTTTCTAACTAATAGGTGAGTAATTAATTCAGTTGGGTATAAAATCCAGGGCACCATATTATCGGCCACAGTAGGCTGTTTGAAAATTTTTTCACTTAGGGATGAATAATAGAGTACACTTGTGTTTTTCTTGGAAAGTCAAGTAGATATACTTTTACTTTACAACTTTACTTCTTTATTAATTACTAAAAGGCAATTAACCAGAAACCAAATTAACAATTATTTAATAAAACCGGTATAAAATAAATTTAAAAGAATGACACGTAACTGACTCAAAAACATCCATTTGATGACTTTTTCATTACATAACATTCGACGAACGTTATAACTTAAATTAACTTTTAACACTTTTCTCGCAGCAGCAGTAAGATAGATGATATTTTCATATATCCGTTTACCATTGAGTAATTTGATTACATAGGCTTACTATACAGTTTAAATTTATTTGTATTTATTTAATGACAAATTTAAATATATATATATATATATATATATATATATATATATATATATATATATATATATATATATCTGTTTGTGTATAATGTTAGATTGCTAGAATTTCATACTTTAGTTTTCAGTTGTTTGATTAGTTAATTTACAATTGTTTTCTAGAAGATGTATTAGTATTACAACTGTTCATTATAAAAAGACTAAAACACATTAAAAAACTGGAACAGTGCATATAGTTTTTTCATTAATTTGCATTAAAATACGTTGAAATTATTAAACATCTATTTATTTCAAACTTATTACGAAAGAATATTGTTGAATTATCGAAGAAACAAGTTTTTTTGGAATAAAATTAGGCGCTAAAACATTTGAAAAAATTTTATTAAGTTTGTTTAGATTTAGTGCACGTCCGGTCTTTTCATGCTTTTTAAGACCTGATAGAAGGTAGTACGGTTTTCAATCCTCGATTTTATTGATCATTTTCATCAATCTAACGCGCTAACTAATTAATTTTTATTTTTTTATTACAGACTAATCTTCGAAAAATATGTCTGACGCCGAAGGGTAAGTTTAACATTTGTAATTTATAGAAATTATTTTTAGCTTTATACAATCGCTTATACCCTATACTTAATGAGTGGAGGCCGTTTAATTTCAGAGACGATGCACCAGCTGTAGTGCCTGCCTCAACGGGAGCGGCAGGAGGACCAATGGACTTGAATACGGCCATCCAAGAAGTTTTGAAAAATTCCTTAATCCACGACGGACTCGCCAAAGGAGCCCATGAGTGCGCCAAAGCTTTAGACAAGAGACAGGCCCATTTGTGCGTGTTGGCAAACAATTGCGACGAGGCCAACTACGTTCGTCTGATCGAAGCTCTCTGTGCTGAACACAACATCAATCTCATCAAGGTGGTTTTTTAGCTAAAATAAAATCTGTCGCTGATAATTTGTTAAGGTTCCTAAATTAAAATTTTTCGCTTTAGATAGTTATCAACACAGTGTGTGTTTCTTTACTTTGTATAAAAATAAATATACTGTTAAAATTCTGTTTTAAATGTCTCCTCAGGTTGATGACAACAAAAAACTTGGTGAGTGGGCTGGCTTGTGCAAGATTGACAAAGAAGGAAAGGCCAGAAAGGTCGTTGGTTGCAGTTGTGTGGTCGTCAAGGTAAATTTGCATGTTGAAATGTCTTGTGACTTTAATAATTACCTATTAAAAGTTTTTTTTTACGAAATTGGAAAAAATGATGACAAACATGCTCCCTCTACTGATAATTATTATTGAGGATTAGCTTCTTTTATTTGTCTGAATCAACAATTTCTTTAAATTTACTCGATATGATTTTTTTAGTTATTGTATTGAGGCTAAGCTATTAATTTTTGTAATTGTTTCATTCATTTTGTAGTTAGTGGAAATGAACGTTGGGACTAAGATTGGTGATGTTTGCACAAGAGTATTAAAAAAATGGAAAATTTGTTCTTTTGATAATTTTAAAAGTGATGACACATATGCTCCCTCTACTGATTATTATTGAGGATTAGCTTCTTTTGATTGTCTGATTTAAAATTTTTGTTTTTTTTTATTAGTTCTATCATTAAAACATTTTCTTGTGAAAATTTATTCTGCTTTTAGATAGCTATATTAATGTATCAATATGAAATAGGAATTATTGGACCAAGAAATAATAATTTAATGGAATTTCTAAAGTGATGACAAACATGCTCCCTCTACTGATTTTTTTGAGGATTAGCTAGTCTCGTTCGGCTGATTTAGAAATTCTTTAAATTGAATGATAATTTAATCTTTAAAACAAGTTATTTTATTGTAGATAATATGTTTGTTGATGATGACGATTGTGATCTCTAATCTGAATTATTTGTGGATTATCTTTTGTCTCGTTCGTCTGAAACAAATTTTTGAAAAAAATGTTCCCAACTGTTGAGAAATTTTTGAGAAAATTTTAAAATAATATCAAGCTAAAAATTACCCCTTATTAGGACTACGGCAAGGAGTCACCCGCCCTTGATGTCTTGAATGAATACTTCAAATCCCGCAAATAAGAAGATAAAAGAACTGTTTTTTTTTTTTAATTTTAATCTTCTGTTATTGAAACTGATCATTCGTTCAATTGTTTGTACGCTGATTTGTTGAAATAAAGGAATTTTAAATTTTCTTGGTGTATTTTGCGAACTAAACCTGCCGGGTTTAATGAAGCTAAGCGGTTTGTCCGACAGCAGCGTTAGTCGTCTCACTAACTTTTCCATCCCTGGTTTTTACTTTGCGAGTTAAATTCACTTTTATACTTCATGTGTCCACATAATTTTCAGTCATTTTCCATAATGCCCCCTTTTGCGACTAATTCTACTGATATATCTGATGACATCAGCCCCAACAATGACTGTGGAATCCGAAAAATTATCGCGAGATCTAGTAGTGATCAGTCTGGTTTGAAACCGCTAGTTGGCGATTCCGTCAAAATACACTATGTCGGATTTTTAGAAAATGGCCAACAGTTTATTTCTAGCCGAGATGCCAATGAACCTCTCAGTTTTATTCTCGGTCGAAGTTAGTTTTTAAAATCAATGTTTTTGTTAGTTAGTTTAAATTAATTAAACATAAATAAGGAGAACAAATTTTGTTAACCAATTAACATTAACTGTTAACATTAACCACAATTTTTTACAAACATAGATGAAGTCATGAAAGCATGGGATATAAGTGTTGAAACCATGCTGCTGGGTGAACTCTCAGTTTTCCACTGCCAATCCAGATATGCTTACGGTATAGATGGCTACCCCCCTCATGTTTCTTCAATTAGTAATGTCATTTTCGAGATTGAACTGCTCTCATTTGAAGGTTAATTGTTATGGTGTTTGTATTTAACAATTAAATTAAATTTTAATTTATTGTTGGTTAGATTTTATATATAATTTACTTAATTTTTTAGTTGTTTTTTAAATTATACATAAGTTTTATTACTCTACTAATAAATTAATTGGCTCATGAGTAATTCTTATTATGATTTTAATAAAAAAAATTTTAAAAAAAGGCGAAGACATCTCAAAGAAGAAGGATGGTGGGATTAGGAAATCTGTTATAACATCGGGATTGTGGGATGGTGGTGGTGGTATGGATACACCTTATGAAAATGCCCTCTGCAAAAGTGATTAGGGAATGTTTTTAGGGAAATTTTCATGATTTTAACCGATAAAAATATTGTAATAAATGTTATTAATACTTTAATGCTGTTGTTACTTTTTACAATAGTTTTTGATTTAAAATTCACAGTTTCATACGAATGTTTCCTGATTAAAAGTACTAACAACAACCCAACAACAACTGCGACTACATCAACGACATTCTCTTCGAACAACAGCAGCTCTCTTCAACTAGTTGAAAGTAAACAAAATCTTGAATTCAAATTAGGAGAAGGTTTTGATCAGGGCTTGACCCCTGGTCTCGAGAGGGCAGTTAGGAAAATGAGATTAGAAGAGGTTGCCAGGGTGGTGATCTCCTCTAAATATTCTTATGGGACTAAGGGATGTGAGACTCTGAATGTTCCTGCCAATTCTAAATTAGTCTACACTGTTACTCTGCACAATTTTGTTCAGGTTGTCTTTATGTATGTGTTTTTGTGTGTGTGTCTTTGTGTGTCCGTCCTTGTGTGTGTGTGTGTGTCTTTGTGTATGTGTGTGTTAAGAATTTTGAAACATCATCATCGTCATCACAGGTCAAACAACACTGGGAGATGAGCAATGAGGAATTGTTACGGGATTCATTGATGGAGAAGGAGAGGGCAACTCAATATTTCCAGGTGTGATGGTGATGACGACGATCTTTGTGATGATGATAATGATGTTTATAATGATGATAGTGGTGTTTATAATGATGATAGTGGTGTTTATAATGATGATAGTGGTGTTTATAATGATGATAGTGGTGTTTATGATGATGATAGTGGTGTTTATGATGATGATAGTGGTGTTTATAATGATGATAGTGGTGTTTATGATGATGATAGTGGTGTTTATAATGATGATAGTGGTGTTTATAATGATGATAGTGGTGTTTATGATGGTGGTGAGGAGATAACGATGATGATGATGATGGAGGTGATGATAATGATGTTTTACGGTAGGGGTTGCGATGGCATTGATGATAATGATGATTTTGTTTTTATATATATTATTATTTAAACATTGATAACAATACTAATTATTATTATTATTATAATAATAATTATTATTATAATTATTTTATGCAGCAAGAAAAATATTACATGGCCCGTAAAAAGTATTCGAGGTCTTTGCTGCTGGTCGAAAGCATCACTTTCCCAATGGACAACAACCCATTTGCAAACAACAACAACAACAATAATAATAATAATGACAATAATAATAATAAAAACAATAATAATAATAGTAATAATGATAACAATAATAGCGAATCTACAATTAGTGTTTGTAGCGTTAATGATAATAATACTGTTACTACTACTACTACCACCACTACTAACACTAATCCCAATTGCAATGATAATAGTAATAGTTGTAATAATAATAACAACATCAGAGAATTAAAAGAATTAAAAGGAGACTTAATAATAAAAAACAATCTGAACATATCGTTGTGTCAGCTTAAGATGGGGAATTTTTTGAGAGCCTTCGACAGTGCTGACGTCATCGTGAACATGCACCCCACCAATGTTAAAGCACTCTATAGGCGCGCTATGGTGTGTAGATTTGTTTACGATGATTGGATTGGTGATGTACATGAAGCTAGTAGGTGGTGTTACTGTTTGGAGTATATCGTTAGTATTACTCTTAATTTTAATAGTCAAATTAAAATCTCCTAGGCACACTTGGGTATGTCCAACTACAAAGAGGCTTTTGACGATTTCACTAATCTCCTAACTCTGGACCCCACGAACATGACGGCCAGCAAGAAGTTGTTGATCTGTCAATCAAAGCTGTCTGAGCAGAGACAGAAAGATAGAGGTGTGTTTACAGATATGTTCAAGAAACTGGCTTTGCTCGATTCTCAGGTTTGTTTTTTTTTCTTGTTGGTTGGTTAATTGATTGGTTGGTTGGTTGGTTGATTGATTGATTGATTGATTGATTGATTGATTGATTGATTGATTGATTGATTGATTGCAGCCAACTAGTTACTCGTTTCTTAACATCTATAAATTAATTATTTTGTTAACCAACCAATCAACCGGCGACGACCAACCGACCAATCAACGAACTCGGAAAACAGCGTGACATGAAGGACATGAAGGATGACGTCTTCACTGGGGTTGGCAACTGGGAGAACAACATGGCGGACGGAATGATGACGTTGGAGCAAGAAATGGCGGCATTCGGCGAGACCATTGAAAGTATGAGATCGCACGACGGCTATGCAGACGATGATAATGCTGATGACAACGACGACAAAGAGAACTGTGAACCTTGCAGTGATGATGAATGAATGAGTGAATGATTGATAGATGGAGTACGTGAATGAAGCTAGGATGAATTACATTGATGCATTCGATGAATGAATTGAACGACAGAACTGAATGAATGACTGATTGATGATTGAATTTATTAGACTCAACAATTTGAATGCATTTGTTTTTTTACTAGAAAAATACCAACTAACCTAATAACAATACGAATGATGCTTAGTCGTGTTTTTTTCATATTTTTGCGATATCTTTAAAATTTTTATTTCATATTTTATGTCGTCTTGGTGTCTATGTGGGCTGTGCAATGCAAACACTATCGAAGCGTAAACCAAATTTATTTTTACACGTACCTACTTTCAGATATTTCTTATTAAAATTCACCAAAAAAATATCAGGTTGTTTCTCTGAAATCATGTTTCAGAGCACGTATCACTCACTAATTTCTTAATACGTGATCTACTGAGGGAGAGATTTTAACAAATTTTGGTTAGGTGGTGAGTTTTGTTGCATTTGAAAATGCATGTTTCCTGGGTTCGCACATCACGCAATTTATGTATTGCGCCGTGATTTATACTTCTGCATAAATAATTAAATAATTGTAAAAAAGAAACAATCAATCAATTAGTTTGTAAAGCGCTATTTCCGCGATGTTCAACAGCGTTCCTCAGTGAATTTTGGGTGTTTAGGTTCAATTAATATATCTGATAAGTACTTAAGATATAATTAAGATTGAGATTTAGACATTAATGGGCAGATTTTAAAAATTATTCTGTATTTTATAGGCAGCCAGTGCAAGAGAACAAGATATGGAGATATATGAGAGAAGAAAGGGGCACGAGTTACTAGACGAGCAGCAGAGTTAAAAGCTTTACTTAGAGGATGGAGTGTAGAATCAGGAAGACCATAGTAGAGCGAGTTACAATAACCAATCCTAGATAAAACTAAAGAAGTAACAAGAAGGAGAAGAGTAGGATTGTTAAGGAAAGGCTAAGTTTTTTTATTCTACGTAGATGAAAGTAAGAACTTTTAGAAACACTACTAAACTGAGAAGAAAGAGGCTAGGCTAGGAAACTTGTGAGAAACATCAAGAAATATATTATATTATCCGGAAATATATTATATTATCAAATGAGATTGTTGATAAAGTTAAGCAACTTTGATTTTAGCACACGATAACTTTGCTATTGCGTAAAAACACATTATTTCCATACAATCACTAACATCACAAGTAATCATCATCATTGTTACCTTCGTGTTCGTCGTCGTCATCATCTTTATTTTCA